CAGTTTCAAGAACGAGGTAACTTATTACATACAAAAATAACAAACAGCCGATACAAAAATAACCAACAGCCGAACTGACAACCTTCTGCTTTTTGAAATCGGTTAAAACATATTGCATTTCTCCAACATATCTGTGTTTTCTTCCACTCCACACTGTTCAGATCAAACCAATTTATTCAAAAATAGACATGGAACTAGTAGCCGAGTTCTCGGCCTAGATTGAGCCGAGTACTCGGCCGATTACTCGGCTTTAAAGAAAACGCAGTAGTGGATGGCGCGCGGTTATTTCCCTTACGCAGAGTTAGGGATGAAACGATACGAGTAAATACAAGTACTTACTCGATACTCTTCTTTCGATACCTAGTAATTTTCGATTCTTTAAAACTGAGTATCTCCTTTCGACCTTTTTAGACCCACGCGATAAAATCAACTTTTATAATGCTTATCAAGCAGAAAGATCGCAAGGCTGTCCTAAGAGATGCTGTAAAAATATCGCTAGACACAGAAGATGATGAACTTGACAATGACGCAGAACAAGCAGAAAAAAAAGAGCTAGAATGATAGATAGAGACCATACTGCTTCTGAAGCTCATAATCTACCCTGGGAATGTTTTGAAGAAGCTGTTCACGCATCAACCAATTACTAACCTAATGATCCTAAGAATTCTGCTGCAGCTGAGTTAGATCATTACTTAAGCGTACCAAGGGGTGTAAGATGTGCTAATCCATATAAATGGTGGGTTTCTAATAAATGCCATTACCCCCTCTTGGGAAAAGTTGCGGCTCAATACTTATCAACATCCGCCAGTTCAGTTTACAGTGAACGGCTTTTTTCAGAAGCGGGCTTAGTATATAAAGCAAAAAAAACAAACCAGACCTAAATAGGGCCGAAAAACTGGTGTTTTTCATCACAATTTTCCTGCCTTAAATTTTAAATATTAGTAATAATAATTTCTATACGTATAATATTCTATATATATAATAATTACTATTATTAAGTACTTTCTCAATATTTCTACTGTTTCTCATGTTACTCTCTAATAATATAATAATAATGATAAAAACTGGCTTTTTGTCTCTGCTTTCTCTGGAATATAATTAAGGCCGAGTACCCGGTACTCGGCCGTTAATACTCGATGTTCGGCCGAACCCTAAAAAAAGGCCGAATTCGCCGAGTACTCGTCCCATGTCTATTCAAAACAATGTACATTGTGTAGAATACATTAAGAATTATAACCAATCACTACATAAGGAAAACAAAATTATAATTTTTTTAACAATGGTAATGTCATAAAAATACAAATCAAGCGAAGTCAAGTAGTGAAATTATTAATGTCAAAACCGCCATAATAGGCTTCTACACGGTCGGGACCAACCACCAACCGTCGTGACCTTGGTCGAGTTGATGTAAAAATGGACAGTGTAGACATCGGTTGTCTGACCAATATTTTCGTTGAGTCCGACGGCCTTGGTCGCGAGCGCATCCCTCACGACACGTTGGGTCCGTGGTTGACGCCGACCGTGTGGAACGCTGTCGGCCGACGAGAGCGCCTCAGTGCCAGTGTTGGGAAATGTACAATAATTATTGGATTCTTACAATAATTTGTTACACGAAACTAAATTGTACCATAAAACATAGCTTACTGTTTATTACTGTACGCTTTTATACAATATTTTCCTTATTTTTACACAATTTAAGTTCAGACACATGCAACTCTCAAATGTATGAACGGATGTAGTTATCGCTTCTAAAAGCGCAAAACGTCTTGAAAAGGGATGTATATCATTTGAACCTACGAAACAAATGGCAAATCAAATTGTCTCCAATATCCTGTATGCAACAACTTCTCTGCAGTCAAATCAGACGGATTTGACTGCAGAGAAGTCATCTACAACTACAAGACTACTACAACAAGACATCTACACGTCGAGATTTCGAACTCGAAGAAGAAGACGACTTCGAATTTTCCATTCCTGTTTAGTTCATAATGTTTAATTCCGTGCCCTAAGTTTTATTATTTTTATAAAAAACAATTAATAACATGTTTTTAAGTTATGCAAATATAAAGAAATAAAAAAAACCTATTAAATTTGGATTTAGACAGCTTAAATAAATAAAAGAATCTTTAGCAAAAAATACAATAAATCTTTCCAAATTCAATATTTTCTAGCTTGACAACACCATAATTTCGCACCAACTATTTCCCAACACTGCTCAGTGCGCGCTTGGCAGTCGTCGCAGGCGGATGTTTAACGGCGCTATGGGTACGAACGGAAGCAAAGAACAGAAGAGGTCCTGACCGAATTCTTGTCACTGTACTGTGATTTACCATGTCTTAAAGTACCGTGTCATGTTTGTTTAAAGTAATGCGCTCTTTCAGCCACAATTTTATCCATTTTTTTTCTTTTTTTTTCATCTTCATTCAAGCATAGAAACGTTAAAGCTAAACCGATTTTTTGTTGTATAGAAAAGCAAGGAACCATTTTTAAAAGTAACTACCTTACGTCTTTACTCTTTAAATACCAGAGACAACTGACAAGTTGAGTCAACCACCCGACCGTGTAGAACGAATACAAAAATCGGTTGACCCGACCAAGGTCACGACGGTTGGTCCCGACCGTGTAGCGCTTTAATAGATTTCAAGATTATGTTACAAAATATTAATATGGTCGAACACTATCATTAATAAAGTCATCAACACTATAAAAAGAATTTTTCCAACAAAAAATCTTTTTTATACTTACTATTCGTATAACTGCAATAATTTTATTGGTGCTATCAAGTTCTAGTTTGAACTCTGCTTACGTATTATAATATTTTAAGGCGAGAACTCCCATGAACTACTACGGCTCATAAAACACGTCTGAAAGTCACACGAAAACATATTGTCAGGTTTAAAGTCGATTTTCTCTAGAACAATTTGATTCGATAACTTGATACGTTGGTTTAGTATCGTGAACGTGGTTGTTGATCATGAGGCCGCGAGAACTCCCTTGAACTACTGCGGCGCATTGACGCGTCTCGGGAAAGACAGCTCTTAACAAATTTAGGTTTAAAATCCTACCTCCTCCTGAATTATTTGATTATATAATTTGTAATTAAACAAATAACGTAGCTTTTTTATAGGATAAGAGTTACAAACAAGCACACAGTCCACCTGTTGGTAAGTTGATGATGTAGCCCATAGATATCGCGTCCTCAATACGAGCTGTATTGAAGTTGCGTAGGTCCTGCCGCATGCATTTGGAGATCTGTCTGTTCAGTTGCCTGTATGCTGTCAAATCTGCTGACGACTGCAACTTCATCGCCCGTCTAACATCCATAAGATTAAAAGTGTGATCGGAGAGTTTTTTTTTAATGGAATAAGGATGACAAACGAGCACACAGTCCACCTGATGGTAAGTGGAAGCTGTGGCCCATAGACATCTACATCTACCCTCGAATAAGAATCAAAATGCAGATGCGACACCCCTGAGTACTAAAATGGAAAGTCTCGTTATTAGTAAAAGAGGTTTCCGGTTCTCTACACTCACCATACGAAACACATCTACAATTTTACGCTGGTATTCTGTGAAAGCGTGGTCCTTCCCAGGTTGAGTAGACCCATTCGTGCTACAACCATAACATAACAGCGTGGCTCTACCTAAATTACTATTCTCAAATTAATTAAATAATATAATTTCTCAAACATCAACCTCCCATTCGTATAACTGCAATGATTTCATTGGTGCTAACGAGTTCTTGTTTGAACTCTCGTTTACTTACGTACTATACTGAGTTACTACTTAGTTTGTTTTATACGAGAGGGGGCAAACGAGCACACGGCTCACCTGATGGTAAGTGATTATGACCGCCGCCCATGAGCAACTGCAACACCACGGGGATTGCAGATGCGTTGCCGGCCTTTTAAAAAGGAGTAAGCTCTTTTCTTAAAGGTCCCTAAGTCGTATTGGTCCGGAAAAATCTCTGGTGGTAGTCGATTCCATAAGGTAGTTATGCGAGGACGAAAACTCCTTTTAAATCGCACAGTGGTGGACCGCCAGTCATCCAGATGGTATGGATGGTATCGCGAGTTTTGTCGCAATGTGCGGTTGTGAAACTATGCGGCTGGAATTAGTCCGAACAATTCCTCAGAGCACTCCCAGTGAGAAATGCGATAAAATATGCTAAAAGATGCAACAGCTCTTCGCAGTGCCACTGAGTAATTATTGTTACTAAGCGCCAATTCCCGTGAACTACCACGGCTCATAAAACACTTCTGGAGAAAGATTGAGCTCTCATATATAAGTTTAAAGATTTCGATTTTCCTTAGAACTATTTGATTTGATAGTAAAAAGTAAAAACGCTTATATAAATTCTCTGGTAGAGTGCGGTCGTGTGGTTTCATTTGCATACAACATATTAGGACTAGGTACATACGATGGTTCGATGCTAGGGTCGAAACTAACAGTTCGGCCCTAACAGTATTTTAATATTTATCCATCCCTCCATCAATATTCAGCTCATTGTCTTCCATTGCAGCCTATAAAAGTCCACCTATTTTGTCCTACAGGCGGGATTTAGGGATTTGTTTGAATTAATTTAATAAAAAATATATTTGTCCTAAATTGTACTTTTTACATAATATTTATACTTCCGCTTCTGCATCCGTTTCCTTTTCTGTTTCTGCTAAAATTGACTTTTGACTTCTGTTTCTGCTTCTGTTATGTTATGACACTTGCATCAGTAGTTTCTACATACATAAACCCTCACGGTTGTCACCCATAGGGATAGGCAGAGACTACGGACTTCCATTTAGCACGATCCCGACATACCTCTCTCGCTTCCTTTATAACTATAAAGCTACGCATACATCCTTGTCAGTTAAGGTTAAGGGTACTCTTAATCTGGCTCATCTTTAATATATCGCCAATTTGGTCGATAAACTTTCGTCTGGGGCGTCGCTTGCCCACTACGCTAACTACTTTTTAATCATCGAAACTCGTCCAATTTTACTAAAATGGCAGTAGATCTATCTAACTGTGACCTTGCGCAGTTGAAACGTGTTGGAGTGGGCGGACAGCTGGTGCCGTTCTTCAAGACGGTGTGCGTGTACTTCGTGGTGGGGGCCGGCGCGCCGTCTGCCACCACCGCCGCCGTCAAGTGCGCGCCCGTGCTGTGCCTGCTGATCTGTGTACTGCTTAAAGCCGCCATGGCTCCGGGAGAGCGGTACGTCATACTCGTTGCCTAATTCTTCTGATTAAAAAAACATCGCATAAGACAATGCGGGTATCCACGACTTTCTACCACCAGAGCGGCGCCACTTACGAATGAGGTGAAATATTTGACAGATCTTTTACCTTATACCTAAGTAGCATGCAATAAGACTTGCAGGAATTCAATTGATAGTCTGGCTTAAGACCGTGCTTTGTGGCATTTCTTGGGGGAGGCTTATGTTCAGCAGTGGACTTGTGAAGGGCTGTAATGATGATGATAATAATGATTTGACAGATTTCATGGCAGGGAAGTTAATTTGATTAGAAAGGAATAAATTAAACTACGAATATACCTATATAAGTCTACATAAAAGTAGAACATTTTTTAAAAAGTTTTAAAATGTGCAAAAAATTAAAAAGCAAATCACTGAGGCATTGTTATTATGTATTAACATAATACCTTCAGAGAGGTAGATTAGACAGATAGAGGGAGATTTCAACATATGCTTACTCAAGCACGGTTCACGTGCATATGAGCTGAAGTCTATTGTGTCCTAACATAATCCACAAATTTTACCTCTCTGCCACCCATCATTTTCCAAACTGCACTCCGTCCTTATCATAGTTTCATTTTTAAACAACATTGCAAATTATGGACAAATAACTGCTTCTTTTTCGTGTTCGTACACCTAAGCGTAAATCACATTTTCGATATCTTCATAACTATAAGAGATTTGGAAGCCATAAAACGAGGTGCAAGTAAAATGGATTGGTTAATAGAATTTGAATTTGAATAGCTTTACTGCTATAATTCTTAGATTGTATGATTACCATGTACCTCTCAAACGTATAAAAATAAAACATTGTCCTGGGCCCTGGATTGCGACTGATATAAAAGAGCTTATGGCGCGTAGGGATAAAGCCAGAAGTAGATATAAACATTGTCCCTTGGAAAGAAATCTGAGTGTGCATTCGCTATAATCGTTTGTGTAGAAATGCAAAAAGGCGCTACCTTTATGACTAACTTTCAAATTGCGATTCAGAAAAAGCCTGGAGTTTTCTCAAAACAGTCGGCATTGGCATACATCCTGTGCTTGGGATTGGAAATCTTGATATAGATATTCTTTTAATAAGCTTATAATTAAAACACGTAACTTCTTAATTATAATGATATTTCGTAACAATAAACTTCACCTCAGTCACAAATAGGTAATTTCTTTTATAGGACAGGGTGACAAGCGAGCACACAGTCCATCTGATGGTAAATGGTTGCTGTTGCCTATAGATATCTACATCTGTCGTCGACTAAGAATCAAAATGCAGATGCGTTGTCACCCCGAAGGAATAAGACGGAATGCCTAGTTTCCAGTAACAAGGGTCTCCGGTTCCGGTTATACTCACCATACGAAACACAGCAGCATTGAGCTACTCTTTTCCGCTGGTATTCTGTGAGAGCATGATACTTCCCCGGTCGGGCCGATCCAATCGTGCTACAACCATAATATAGTAGCATGGTTTTATCATGTTTAAGCTCGTTTTAAGCACTTTTATTAGCTTTACATTGAACTGTCATCTGATAATATGATAACCTGTAATTAAGAAAACAAGCATAAATCAGTAAAAGAAACGCTAAAGCGGTAATTTAAAAAAAGACCGAATGCGTAAAAAAAGTTTACTGAAAAGTGAAAAAAATTATATCCTATGTCACTTGTACAACTAAGATGAATCTAACGCCACCCCATTCGTTAAAATCCATCAATCCGTTTAGGCTGCAGAACGTGCCAAAGAAGTAGTTACACATACATACTCCCAAAAATTATCACCCTCCTTCTGGAGCAGTCAGTTACTCGTAAATAAAAGAAAACTTATTTTATTTCACAAAGCACCACTTTGAAAAAAAAAGGAAAACGTACCTACATTATATAAATTAAATTAGTAGTTGTGTCATGTCAAAAACCTTTTGGTATCAGACACGCCATTTTGAATCTAAATCAATGAGGGATGTGGATATCTATGGGACACACTATCGTGCTCGTTTGCCTCCACTTGTTCTTAAATTAAAAGAATCTATGGTACTTTGCGAGCCCTACCTAACTTTATAGTACAGAAACATGAATTGTTTTTGAGACTATGTTGCGAAGTAGTGGCAGCATTCTATCTTTGTCCTCAGGAGCGATAAATGGATCTGAACACTGAGTCTTAATCGAGGATAGATGTAGGTGTCTGTGGGCTGAAGCATCCACTTACCATGAGCTAGACTGTGTGTTTATTTGTCACCCGTACTTCCATAAAAACTTCTTCTCTGTGGCCTCAACGGCGCAGAGTAAATCCAAGGGATCTTTCGCATACAAAAAAGTAACACAGTTTATTTTTGCATGCGTTTCTTAAACTAACAAGTTGAATTATGAATAAACTTGTCTTGTACTTGCGGCTTAAACTATCATCTCATTTCGTCCCGAGGGTGTTATAAAAGGCAACTATACTAGTCAAAACAAAATAAGGGCCACCACGTTTTTACAGTATTCTCGCGAATTCTTGAGGTTGAAGGGTTGATTAATGATTAGATTGCATAAATTAATTGATTTTTATTGTAAACAGCATAAAATAATGACGGAAACAAAAAAAAATTACACAACTTTTTCTGAAAATTTATTTTTTTGAAAAGGAAACAGCAAGACAAAAGATTAAGTGAAAAAAAAAACAAATAGTGTTGGTTGATTTGAGGCTTTCCTCAATATCTGGTGTGACCTCGTTTTCTAATGCACTCTTGAAGCCTGGAAGGTACACTTTCCACCAGGTGTACCACTGTTTCTTGAGGAATTTGTTCCCAGCTTGATTTCAAAATGTTTATTAGCTGTCTTTCATTGCGCACGGGTTGGTTTGTGCTTCGAACACTGCGATTCAGTAAATCCCACATGTGTTCAATGGGATTGAGATCCGGACTATTTGCAGGCCAGGGCAGTACCTGTATACCAGCCTCCTCTAGGGCTTCTCTGGTGGCCCTAGCTGTATGAGCGCGAGCATTATCGTGCATCAGATGGAATCTTGCTCCGATTCTCTGTGCATATGAGACCACATGGGGTCTAATGACCTCCTCGATATAACGTTGAGCTGTAATTGTGCCTTCGTTGAGAATTACCAACTCGGTTCTACCTGATATAGAGATTCCTCCCCACACCACAACATTGGGGCCCCCAAATCTGTCACTTTCATGAATACAAGCATCCGAAAATCGCTTACCTTCACGCCTCTAAACCCTAATGCGACGGTCATTACTAAAAAATTTAACTTTGCACTCATCCGTAAACAGTACTGTGCTCCAATCACTCATATCCCATGCCAGATGCTGCCTTGCGAACGATAATCGGTTTGCACGATGGGCACTTGTTAATGGTATCCGCACTACGCGTCTCCTGGAGAACTGCTGGTCCTTGTGCAACCGATTTCTAATGGTTTGATCACTGACGCGTGTACCCGTCGCCTGCCGCAAACGATTTTGTAAGGAGCGGGCAGTGATGCAGTGTTCTCTGCGCGCAGTCAAGCGCACGTAGCGATCCTCCTGTGCGGTAGTTGCTCAATTTCTTCCAGATCTCCGTCTCCTGGTTAGTCTTCCAGTCTCTTGAAATCGATTCCAAGCATTCTGGATCGCTCGTCGGGATAAAAACAACCCTTCTTGAAGCAATGTTACGGCCCTAGTTACAGTGGGTAAGTCCATATGTCGTCGAATTCTCGGCATAACTTTTTTTTAAATGTTAATTCAGCCACTAGTTAAACAAAACTTAAACCGTTCTTGACAGAATCGTCACTTTGACTGAGTTAAAATCTGTCTTAAAATCGGGTTCAAGTGGTTACAATAAATTATCAAAAACTACCCAATTTAAAAAATTATGAACCTGGAATACTCAAAAAATGTTTGTAAACAAATAAGGTAACACCACAATAAACAATCAGCTACTTGAGAACGCATAAAATATGAACTCTCGCTACCGACGTAAAAAATAACAAGTGGCCTTTATTTTGTTTTGACTAGTATATAAATGTCGGAGGAATCTTTGATTTCCGATAGATTCAGTGTGAGCATCTCACGCCAGACGTAAAATCCCCACATCGGCGCGACGACGGAAAGAAGCTTCAAAGATGTAACACGTCAGGTTCCTACTGCGGGTGTGGTCTGCCTGTCGAGTGAGATGAAATCAAAGCAAATCTTCTACACAAGGCCCTTTTTAAAAGGTCGGTAACGCAACTGCAATTCCTGTACTCGTAGTGTTGCAGTTGTTCACGGGCGGCGGTTGACACTATCAGGTGAGCCGCTCGTTTTTACCCTCTTCCATAAAAAAAGAGGCTTATGACTGCAGATGACTGACAAACGTGCTTTACCGAATGTAATTAACGTGGTGGAACGAATGAATGAAAATTAAATTAAATGTAAGTGTATGTAAAATATTGCGTTGTCAAGTTTTCAGGTGGTAGAGTCATGTTGTAACACAAAAGAGTTGGTTCGACCCGTGAAGCACCATGCTTTCACATACCAGCGTAAAATAGCTGCTAATGTTGCTGTCTTCGGTATAGTGAGTGTAGAGAACCGGAGACCCTTCATACTGTCCACGAGGCATTCCATTCTACTCCTCAGGGGTAACAACACATCTGTATTTTAATTCTTAATCTAGGATAGACGTAGATGTCTATGAGGCACAGTATCCACTTACCATCAGTTGGACTGCGTGCTCGTTTGTCACCCTAATTCTATAAAATAAATCTATGGGCGAGGATGGTCAGGAGTGGAATTTTATAGGTTATAATCTTGTAATGGATAGAATGGATTACGTTTGGAAGGAGTTGGGGAGCGGTAGAACGCTTCGTGTGGGATACGAGCAACGTGTGGTTGATAGGAGCCGGTACTCGCGCTGCGTATGCTTGGGACTGGCGTTATCTGCGCTGGGCGACGCGGCGCTGGTGTGGCCGCGGCTGCTGGTGGCCGGCATGGCCCTATTCGGCGCGGCGCACGTGGCTTATGTGGCCGCGTTCGGGCTACAGCCATTCCAGCCAGCTCTGGCCGCGGCGTGCGCGCTGGCCACAACACTGTACGTGACCACGCTCCATGCTGGACCACTGACGCTCGCAGTGCACGTGTACTCAGCACTGTTGGCTACCATGGCATGGCGCGGAGCTTGCCGTCGCGGTCCCCAGCGGGCTGGTGCACTCCTCTTCGCGTTCTCCGACGCCGTGCTCGGGTACAGCCTGTTCGGTGGGCCCGTACCTTACAAGCAGGTATGTCGCAAGTCGCGACGGAAAACAAATTACTGTTCCATATTTATTTCTTATATTTACGCAAATACTACTCCTTAAGAGCTAGCGCGCACTGGTGATTTTTATCACCGTGACATTAAAGTTTTTGTCAATGTCACGACACCTTTCCAAAGCGGAGTGCGCTCACGAAAGGTGACAGTGACTTTTTTTTAAATCGAAGCGTCATTTGCCGACATGAACTTCGAACAGACAGTCGCTGTCTGTGAACTCATCAGACTAAGAAGGAAAAAAGCTAAAAATATTAAACGACTACTATTTCTGATGTGTAACTTTTGTTTTAGCTATATGGGTACCTAAGTAATATAATAATTGTATGTATTTCAGTTTTTTCTTGTGCCGATAAGTTACGCGAACATTGGAAAATATTAATATGCTTGTATCTATCTTCCCATGCTTTAATTTTTAAATCTTTCCGAATTGTCTTTCAACTTTTTATCATAAAGTGCTGATCTCTTTTCTAATATCTTAATCCTTTATAAGTATATCATTATCAATATTGTTTTATACGTGGTAGAGCCATGCTGCAGCTATATTGTTCATATAGTTGTAGCATAAATCGGTCGGCTCTACCGGGGAAGGACCACGCTCTCACAGAATACCAGCGTAAAATAGCATAATGCTGCTGTGTATCGTACGGTGAGTGTAGCGAACGGAAGACTCTTTTACTGGAAGAGAGACATTCTATCTTAGTCCTCACGGGTGACAACGCATCTGCATTTTGATTCGTACTCGAGGACAGATGTAGATGTCTACGGGCCACAGCAAGTGGACTGTGTGCTCGCTTGTCACCCTTACCTATAAAAAATCATTTTCATGAACATTCATGTTTTGCGTAGATGGTAACGCCATTTTGCACGCGCCAAGTCTGGTCGCAATGCAAATAGCGAATGAAGGGGACGCGAAGAGTGACAATTTTGTTTTTGTCACAAGCGTGTGCGCACGCAGCGCTGCTATGAAAATCAAACGACGCGGTGACAGTTTCGTCATGCCGGTCAGCGTACGAAAATGGCACCTAGTTGTGTCACGTCGTAATATGCGCGCATCTCCATATATATCTACGGACTTGATATGAATGAGGAAACCGTCGCGGTGACAAAAATCATCAGTGCGCGCTCGCTCTAATTGAAACTAATTTCACGGATTTTTTTATAGAATAAAAAAGTGATAAACGAGCACCCAGTACACCTAATGGCAAGTGTATGCCATCAGGTGGCTCACGGTCTTAGACCGTAGGGCAGGGATCGGCAACCTGCGGCTTGCGACCCACATGTGGCTCTTTGGATGTGAAGCTGTGGCTCCTTAGTTCCATACGCAAATAATAAAGAAATTAATTAATTTACAACCTTCCGCTAACTAAATACAATGATGTGTCTTACTTACTTTTACTTTATTTTTACTTATTTTGACTTAGCGGTCAGCCGCCGTAGAGTCTAAGTTTTTCTTTGTTCATTTTAAAAACAAACAACAATGCGTCCGAGACATTCGAAAGGAAGGCTCTAAATGTTAATGAAGGGTTGGTGGAGAGCGCCGCATCGCACTTGCGTGAACCGCGCGTTGCCAGTTCGCGCTTCACCCGAGGCAAGCATGCCAACAGCGAGCTATCATCGAGCGGTCCACTCGCAGTCCTCGCGTGGCAACACTACCCGGTGATGGTACGGAGTTGATGTAGTGAGCGCAGGCCCATACAAATCCATGCGAAGAATACGAACCGCTCGAAGCGAGGCGGTGAGGGTCGGGTACCGGGTGGCTCTAATGAGCTGGGACCCTTAGGCACAATGATATTATAATTATTTTCCTATAATATCATTGCTTAGACATCATTTTTCACCATTTTCGATCTTATCTATCTAATCGCACGCAGTTAGTTAAAATCGGTGATTACACTAGTTTACCTACTACTGTCTCGTTCGATGTACCACAAGGTAGTGTACTAGGCCCAACTCTCTTTCTAGTTTACGTAAATACTTTCTGCTCACTTACCTTGCCTAACTGCAAAATCATTTCGTACGCCGACAATACGGCTTTAATTGTATATGGTAAGGACTGGAATGAAGCCCAACACAATAAAGAATATGCGCTTGGAAGGGTCATGCGGTGGCTTAGTAGCAATCTATTGCCATTAAATGTAAACAAGACTAAATATATTACTTTCACTCACCGTGCCACTCACAGTACCCAACCATCAGCGGAATTTTATATCAAAGCACATACATGTGAACAACATAGCTTATGCAACTGCCCAAAACTTACTCGTTCCACTAACATAAGATACCTCGGACTTATCATTGACTACTGCCTATCTTGGTCAGAGCATATAAGCAATGTAACCTGCCGTATTAGAAAACTGATACCAATATTCAGAAAATTGAGGAATTCTGCTGACTTTGAAACATTGATATGTGTTTACTATGCTCTTGCTCAAAGTTTACTACAATACTGTATTGTAACATGGGGTGGAATTGGAAAAACAACTTTACTCTCCTTAGAACGTGCTCAAAGAGCAATCTTAAAGGTAATGCTAGGTAAATCACAAAGATTTAGCACCGAACTTATTTTTAAGGAATGCTCTGTACTTACTGTAAGACAGCTTTTTGTCATGTCTGTTATACTACGTAAGCACAAAAATACAGAGTTTAAACCTAATTTAAAACGTAAAAAATATAGAATTTTTGACATGGGTTCTCACAGAACTGCTTTAGCACGTCGTCAATATTATGTCACTAGCAATTATTTATATAATGTAGCAAATAAAGTAAACAATATTTACCCTTTGTCCCTTTATAAATGTAAAGATAAAATCCTAAATTGGTTGCTAAGCCTTAATTACGTGGAAACAGAGAAGTTAATCAGTATTTAAGTTCTAACACACACACGCATACACACACATTAACACAAAAACACACACTATTACATGCACATGCACACACACACACACGGACACACGCCACACACGCACACACACACACACACACACACACACACGCACGCACGCGCACACGCGCACGCGCGCACACACACACACACACACACACACACACACACACGCACACACGCACACGCACGCACGCGCACGCGCACGCACACACACACACACACACGCGCGCGCACGCACACACACACACACACACACACACACACACACACACACACACACACACACACACCGGTTTGTGGTAATTAGAGTTTTCATTTGTTTTAAATTTATTATTTAACTTAACATTGTTGTGTATTATATAGCGAAATAATCTGTCATTTTTTACTGTATTTGTATTGTACTACTCAGGGTGGAAGACGCTGACGTCTGTAACACAGTTTATACTTGTAATTTTAAATAGATATAATACATAAGTGTAACCTGTCAATTGAGTCTTAAAAAAAAGAAAAAAAATTCCATCTCTCAGCCACTTGTACTCGCTTTTCACCATACCCCTCCCCCCTGATACGTGTCGTCACAGTAGTTAGTGCCCTATTTAGTATATTATCTTTTCGGTTTATTTCGGTTAGTTCGTCAGAAACTATTTAATGACGCCGTCATCGGATGTTCCTATGTACGTTTTAATTCGCTTTCTAAGCAAGACAGTTTGGCGTCTTCACCAGCGCTTTGGCTGTGACGTATAGTTTGTTGTTTCAAGTTGAAGAATGAGAAGCGAATTATATTCTCGAAAGTACGTATGTACATATATAATAATAAAAAACCGAAGTAAAGGTAGGTAACATAATTAGTATTATATTTTTAAAATACATTATACATATCTTTTTCCAAATCAGATACCTAACCTAACTACTATTTTAATGTCAATAAGAATTGCCAAAAATACTATTGTCTGATATTTGTGCGTAAGTGTTTAATATTAAAATATGTATATATTTAGTAAATTACCTATATTGTTATTTATCTATTTTACAGCTTTTATTATTTAAAAATTACTAGATAAATATAGGACAAAAGATACACGATAAAATAGCAAAAATTTCTTCAAATGTAACATATTTGCAGGTGGAAGACATTCAATTCGCTTCTACCTTATCACTTGCTATAGATGAGTCTTTCGAAATAAAAGACACGGCACGAGTTGCCCTTTTTGTCAGGTATATGTCTTTCCAATGTCCTAAAGAAGAACTTTTAGGATTGCTACCGCTCTTGGGACAAACAAGAGGGGAAGATATAGCGAACGCCGGGGAAAACCGCTTCGAAGATAATAAGATCGATTTAAATAAAACCGTTTCAATAGCAACTGATGGAGCCAGAAGTATTGCAGGAAAACATATAAAGGATAACAACGATTTTACAGAGCAAAATAAACCACGACATTCATACTGTTACGAGCTTGAGGTTCGTGACAATAAAAACTGCCGATTGAATTACCAAAATTAACACTTTAATCACCGAACACCAATTAAAACTTAAAAACACTAATAATTAATCACACTGGTTCACTTTATTTCGCTCCGAAGCTTCGCTTGTCTCGCCAAATTCAATACTTCTCCAACCGCGTCTTGCAGCGCCTTTAAATACACATTTTTCACCGAAACGTCCAGAATATTCAAGTAAATACGCGCGCCAACCGACCAGGCGCAGAAAGTTCGAGTGTGGGGCTTCCAGAAAGCTTAATTCTTCTGTTCGATACTAGATGGCGCTGTTGGTCGAAAGTCAAGATTGACATTTTCTAGGAAGCCCTCGCTCTGGTCCCCGACACTAGATGGCGTTAGTGCCAGGTGCCTGACGTCAACTTAGGCGCGTAACACTGCCCCCTCCTAAGACATGCTCGTCCCGAACATTATCGGCCCCATAATAACGTGCCAGGCGATCCACATGGACGATCTTAGAAGTTCCTCTTGCGCCTTTCTGAAACGGCTCCGCAATGTCAAGGGCTGTCCTATCCTATAGTGCACCAACATTGTACAATTACGATGCTCCTCCGCTACGTGTCTGAGATACCTTCACAGCCACACAACTTGTA